CCGAGTAGCTGGGACTACAGGCGCCCACCAACTTCGCCCGGCTAGTTTTTTGTAAATTTTTAGTGTAGACGGGGTTCACCGTGTTAAGCCGGATGGTCTTGATCTCCTGACCTCGTGATCCCGCCGTCCGGCCCCCCAAAAGTGCTGGGATTACAGCGCCTTGCAGACCACCGCACCCGGCCTTTGTTGTGTTTTTTTTGTTTTTGTTTTTCTTTTTGGATGGAACCCTTGCGCCCCTGTCAAACTTGCCAGCCGCTGGAGTGCAGTGGTACACGTTCTCGGGGCTCACTTGCAACCTCCACCCTCAACAGGTTTCAAAGCGCATTCACCCTGCCTCAGCCTCCCAAAAGGGTATCCAGGATTACAGAACGCACACCACCACACCCGGGCTATTTTTGTGTAATTTTTAGTGGAACGGGGTTTCTCCCATTGTTGCCTGGCCTGGCCTTGAACTCCTGACCTCAGTGCTGCTGCCCTGCCTCTGCCTCCTAAAGTTTGCCTGGGATTACAGGGCGTGAGCCACCATACCCAGCCCACCTTGGCACTTTGGAAGAGCCTTCAGCCCCCTATTCTCATCGTGGCCGGCCAAACTATGAACCGGGCTGCCCAGAGCAGGCCACTTACCAGTTGCAGGGTAGCAGAGAAAGCCTGATGTTCCCGGACGGCCTTCCTAGAGGGGAGGCCCTGGGATATCCCACACACTTGGATGTGCATAAGTCGCTGCGCCCGCGTGCCTGGTGCTCCTGTGTGGCAGCCATCGGGGCTGGGGTAACACTAGAGGCTGAGGGGGTGGGCAGTGCTAAAATAAGAACATGGTTGGGAACCTAAAAGAAGCCCACACTGTCAGGGGCATCAAAATGAAAGCCGAGTTCCTCGGGACTTACCAGAACATTCCAGCCCCACCCCCGACCTGAGCTCCTTCAAAGAGAACCCTTCCCCACTGGAGGCATGGCCCCTTCAGGGGGCAGTGAGAAGCTTTGCCAGCTGCAAGTCCCCCAGATCAGCTCACACCTCAGAACATCTTGTCCCCAACGAGCTGGCAGGGGCGCCGGCCCAGGGCGGGGGTGCTGCTGTATCTAACCGGATCGATTGTGCCTAACCGTCTAGGCCGGTTCGTGGAATGTTCTTGGGGCCCCCTGCCCCTCCCTCAGCCTCCCCCCGCATCCCCCCAAGAAAGGAAAATTATTTTTCGTATTGTAAACTTTAAACACGAAAAAGCTGTTTTTAATTTAGCAGAAACTGGCTTGGATCTTCACTTTGTGAACGTTTATGTCCTTCAGAGAAAGGCAGAATACGCCTGCGCACACTCACACATACGCACACACCTGCACACGCATGCCGCAGCGCACACATTCACATGGCCGTGCTCGTGCACGCCTGCACATGCATGCTCGCCCATACTCACACACTGCAGCGTGTTCACATGCTCACCCGCACACGGTGAAACGCACACACATGTGCACACACACACATATCTGTGCATGCACCCCCGGAGCAGCACAGCCCACTCTGCCTGGCGGCCCAGAGGGGTCTGGAACCCGGCACCGCCCCGAGCCTGGGGAAAGCCTGTCTACTTCCAGATGCCCTGCCTCCTCGCTGAGGCCTGGACGCCGGCCGCAGGAGCCTCCCTCGCACCTGGGCTCGGGCTGTGGGAAAACGCTGTCTCTCGGGACGGTCAGATGCAGGCCCGCAAGAGGGAGGCCAAGTGTGACTTCTGGGGCCTCTCAACAAGTGAGGGCCAAGGGGGCCTCTGGGGAGCCGTGTGAGGTGGGAATCCGCCCCGGACCTGGCCAGCTTGGAAACCCGCCCCTGGCTCCCTCTCCGAGGAAGCAGCTCCAGCTCCTCCGTTCTCACGGGCCCTGGAGATTCACTTTGCGCGGTGCAGCCTCAGGCTCTGCTCTTCCTCGGGGCGCCCAGACGTGGATCTCAGCAGCCCAGCGCCTAACGCAGAGCCTGGCACAGACAGGGCATAGCTCGAATGTTTGCTGCACAAAGGAGAGGTGCTGGGGCGGGAAAGTGAGGGCGGCCTTCTTCACACCAGCGGCCATGGGCACCTTCTGTGTGCACACCCTGGGGGAAGGAGGACACCAAGCAGTGCTCCACCCCCAGCAAGGCCCCTGCTTCGTTCTCGTCTTCCTGTCGCTCTCATTCTGATGGCCAGCCGGGCAGCCATTCCTCCCTCCTCACCATCAGAACCCAGCAGCAATGTGCCCAGCCTCCGGAGTTAAGATTCAGCTGAGCCGTTCTTGGCAATGCCTTTTGCTGGGGTTGTTTGCAATCTGGGCATGTTTCCCAGCTCTGGCCAGCAAGCTTGAAGGGGTCGGGTGTTTCTGGACAAGGGAGAGAGAGGCCTTGTTGCCCCCTTCCCTCCCTTACTGCTGCTTATGAGGACACAATGCCAGGGGCTTCTGCAGCCATCTTGTGGCCAGGAGGAGCAAGTTAAGAGAGCACACTCAGGTTGGGCGCGGTGGCTCATGCCTGTAATCCCAGAGCTTCAGGAGGCCGAGGCAGGAGGATCGTTTGAGTCCAAGAGTTCAAGACCAGCCCTGAGTGACATAGTGAGAACTTATCGCTACAAAAAAAAAAGAAAAAAAGAAAAGAAAAAGCTGGTCAGGGTGGCGCACACCTGTAGTCCCAGCTACTGGGGGAGGTGAAGGTGGGAAGCTCACCTGAGCCCAGGAGTTCTAGGCTTCAAGGAGCTGTGATTGCAACACTGCACTCCAGCCTGTTTTTCTGAGCCTAGTTTTCCAGCCTTCTCATCACTTCTGTGAGCTACCAAACAATTTTTTGTGTTTCGTTTTTGAGATGGAGTCTCACTCTTTCGCCCAGCCTGGAGTGCGATGGCGCCATCTCAGTTCACTGCAACCTGTGCCTCCCGGGTTCAAGCGATTCTCCTGCCTCAGCCTCCTCCTGAGTAGCTGGGATTACAGGTGCACGCCACCACTCCCGGCTAATTTTTGTATTTTTGGTACAGATGAGGTTTCGCCATGTTGGGCCCTAGGCTGGTCTTGAACGCCTGCCTCAAAGTGATCTGCTCTGCCTTGGTCTCTCAAAACGTGCTGGGATTACAGGAGTGAGCCCCACCCACGCCTGCTCTTTTTTTTTTTTTTAAATAGAGACAGGTCTCACTGATTGTTGGTCCAGGCTGGTTTTGAACTCTTGGGCTCAAGCGAGCACTCCCTGCCTTTGGCCTCCCAAAGTGCTGGGGGATTATGAGACATGAGTGCCCGTGCCTAGCCAACCAACCAGTTTGGCAATACCACACAGTTGGCTATTTAAATTGTCCAGCACGGCTGAAGCAAAGGTGCTGCCTCAACTATAATCGTTCCAGCGGCTTGTGAGGAGCTGAGCGGGCAGATCACTTGAGGGCAGGAGATCGAGACAGCCTGGTCAACATCGGTGAAACTGGTCTCACTAAAAATACAAAAAAATTAGCCAGGTGTGGTGAGTTCACACTTTGTAAGCCCCTAGCTACTCGGGAGGCTGAGGCAGGGAATTGCTTGAAACCTGTGAGGGTTGGAGGTTGCAGTGAGCGCAAGATTGAAACCACTACACTCTAGCCCCAGCAACAGAGCAAGACTCCAAAAGGTAAATAGAATAAATGAATATAAAATGAAATAAATGGTCTACGAGTCAGTTTCTGTTGCTTGCAAGGTAAAACCCTTTGACATTGAACGTGGGGAAAACTCAGCATCTGCCCATGCTTTACGTTATAATTTTGATGTTCGGTGACAAGCATATCTGGCTATTAGTGTTTTCTGCCGCTTGTAGGGCATTATTTCTCAAACGAGGGAGACGGGAGGTCCAGAGGTGCTGGGGATATAATGCACTGGTGCCCATGGATTTCTGGGAGGGGGCACGGCTTGCCTCTCTCTTTTTTCTTTTTTTTTTTTTTTTTTTGAGACGACGTCTCGCTCTGTCGCCCAGCTGGAGGGCAGTGGCCAGATCTCAGCCTTCGACTTGCAAGCTCCGCCTCCCGGGTTTAACACCATTCTCCTGGCCTCGAGCCTGCTGGGAGTAGTAGCTGGGTTGTACAGGCACCCGAGCCACCTCAGCCCGGCTAGTTTTTGTGTACGTTTTAGTGTAGTAGAGACGGTTTTCCGTGTTGTTTTAGGCCGGGATGGTCTCGATCTCCTGACCTTGTGATCCACCCGTCTCGGCCTCCCAAAGTGCTGGGATTACAGGCTTGAGCCACCGCGCCCGGCCTTCTTTCTTTCTTTTTTCTTTTTTTGGTTTAGAGACTGTATTCCCAGCACTTTGGGAGGCTGAGGCAGGCAGATCTCTTGAGCCCAGGAGTTGGAGACCAGCAACACAGCAAAACCCCGTCTCTACAAAAAAATAGAGAAATTAGCCTGGCATAGTGGCGTACACCTGTAGTCCCAGCTACACAGGAGGGTGAGGTGAGGATCGCTTGAGCCCCAGAGATCAAGGCTGCAATGAGCTGTGATTGTGCCACTGCACTCCAGCCTGGGTAACACAGTGAGACCCTGTCTCAAAACAAGAAAAAGAAAAAGAAAAAGAAAACAATGGTATCAAAGGGGTGAGGCAGCTAGGCCTTCAGCTGAAATTGTGCCAGAGGACGATCCTGCCACCACTGCAGAATCCAGACGCCTCCATTGGCACTGCCATCTGCCCTGGGCACTCAGCCACAGCTGCCCCTGGAAAACAGATGGCCCTGCCCTGATGCTGTTTCTCTGTAGCACTTGTGCCTGCATGGAAACA